GGGCATTCCTTTTATCTAACATTGAGCTTCAGGACGCAGAGAAGGGAGGGTAGCTGTCTTCGCCGGCCTGTAATGATGCTTCCCATGTGTGATTTGGCACGATAGCACGCTACAACTTACATTTCTGGAGAGAAATGGTTCACTATTCGATTTGGTGGTGCTCGATTCCTCCCCCTCCTTTTCCCAGGTTTCTGTGCAAGGTAACCGAAAGCCGTATCCCTTTGGCAAGGTGGCCCTGTCAAAAAACACCACCTAATGAAGTAGAGCTGTGCCAGTCACATCATAAAAATGCCCCCAAACTCTTACAAAGTCACGAAAACCCCTCCCTCCCCTCCCCCCTCTCGACCCTCTGACCAGTTAGCCAGTAATAATGATTTTCACAAAGTTCAGTAGGCGCTGTTAGAAAAGAATATGCAAGTATGAAACTGAGGTAGTCAAAGGTTGTAACACATCCATCGCTTTGTTACTACAACATCGAAAACTTTTAAAAAATTTCCGATATCCCAAACCTGTTTTGAATAGGAACAAACAAAGAAAAAAGCCTATCGTCGATTCTTATCTGGCCTCCTCAATGAATGCTAAAGAAGGCATGTCAAGAGGAGCAAAATAGCATATGCAGTTCGATTTTGAAGCCAGGTGTGATTGATTGATCGGCCAAGTTGATCAGTCTCTTTGGAATGTGTATAAGAAAAAGAGAAGTTTCCATAACTGGTTCCCTCTGAATACCGTCCGTCCAACGTTCTAATCTGTGAACATTGACTTCGAGTACAGAGAGTTTTTGGATGAAGAAAATTTCGTTGAAGTGGCAAGGGTAGACAACTCATATGCTCAGCTGTATTTGAGTCCTTCTGGAGGATTTAACTCCTTGTGACCTCCCCCCGAGGTGCAACGTTGGGGCAATCTGGCACCATTTTTATTCTGCTTCAACAGTAAGACTTCTAGAACCCGAATGCTTTTTTATGGGATGTACTCCTGCACTTAGTAACAAGACAAAGCCGATGATTAAAGGGGAAAGATACTTCCATCGAAGTTACGCGGGCTCACTTGTCCGGCCGTTGGTAATCAAACGGTAAGTTATTGAAG